CTGTTTGTTTGATAGACGGGTGGTGCATTTTGTGTATGCAAGAAAGTGGGTTGTATTGATCGTCTCAATTAAGGTTCTTTGAATTTCCACCTTGAGTGCAGTCATTTGAACTGGAGATGATAAGTGCAATCCATTTTGTTGTTGTCATGAAATGTATTGTCTCAAAATATGTCGTGTGACTTGTCCACTAGGCTTTTGATTTTCCCCACTTAGCTAGGGAAGCGATTGCCTATTTTTGTCGTCGACAAAAATACGCGATAGGCAATTATGGAAAACATTTACAAATTTTGTTTTCCATAATTGTTTTACCAATAATATAGTATAATTAATACATTACACTATATTACAGATATATATTGAAATCCCATTCAGATAGTTTGGGAGAGATAGTTTTTTACTTTCTTTTTTTCTTAAAACACAAATCACGAAATGATGGAAAACATTAACACATTTGTTATCCATTATTGTCTATTTTGAAGCATAGCATTATACGTAGTTCTAGTATGGCACTTTCATCCAACTATTTACATAGTCAAGCTAATGAATCCATGTAGTTAAAAAGAATGATTCCTACTATATTGGTCACTAATCTCCATCATTTACTTTAATATAATAGTTTTTTTCCACAAATTTGTTAATTAAACTTGAAACAAAATCTCGGTCGATCGATCGCAATATGTTGCTCCGCAACCCAAAAAACGAATGCACAAAGTATTCGTTTAAGTCGGTAGTTTCGTTTCGGGCGGGAACAATTGTTTTATCTGCTTGGTGACTGTAATGCGATAGAGTCGCTTGCCTGAGAAACCCACATTCGACGGGACTCCTCCGTGCGACAATACAAACCTGAACCAAACTTGAGGTGAGTGTAACAAAAAGCGTACGTGCTGTTTAATCGAATAGTAGGGTGTAGGCAGGTGTTGGCACGTCTTTTCATCCTTTCGCTCAGTTTTGGAAATTGTCTGTTTGGAAATTCAGGGGCACGACGAAATGGATCAAAAATACCTCTTTCCGTCCGTTAAAGCCCGCTGCCCAAATTGTTCGTATGTATTGCGTATGAACGTGAGCAGTGTTTACCGAATTTAGAGAAAATATCGCAAACCCATGAATTCCTCCGTCGCAACAAGAGAGGTGGTTGCTGGCAGCCAATCAGAAGAAATTGTTTTGCTTGAGGAATCACTCGCATTCTGTCTCCTGAAAATGGATTGCAAAATCCCTTGAATTTAGGGCCATCCGATTAACGTAAGACCGATCCGACGGCCCAAACCCAAAGAGCTGAAACTTTCAAAATCGACGACCTTCAATCAGTACCGAGCTGTATATTCGAAATCGGCCGTCGAAATCAGAGAAGCACTGTGTGTATGCCGAGTCGCAAAACGCAGGTTGTTTGTCGAGGGACTTGCACAGTGTTATGAATGGGACTGCCGAGTTGCGCAGAGGGCAATGGCGAAACGGTGAACGAGTGAATGACAATAAAATGAAAGACACACAATATGTAGAAAGCCTAGGGTGATCCAGGACGTAGGATCGGAAGCTTCGGGAAAAGTATCGAAGGGCCTCGATGTGTCGAAGCGAGGTCCGGAAAGGCTCAGGAGGCTCGAACTGAAAGGTCTGGAACCCTATTGCCGGTTCGGGACTGTTCGAGTCGTGCGACCTGTAGCAAGCCTCAGTAAGGAATTACAAATTCCTTACACACATGTCGCACACAACACACTTCAGTTCTAGTATCCCCTCCCACTGCCCCTTTCAAACGCGGTGCGTTTGACACCCTGGACTTGCAATTTAGGCTGCGGGCTTTAATGCATCGAATAGAAGCCGCTTTGGGTAAAGGGTGCGTACTCACAACTGGCTTCGGAGCAATGTGATCAGAGAGCGATTTGGGCAGTGACGGTTAAAGCGTGTGACCCAAGAACGATCAAGACTCAAAGTATTTGAATCTTGGTCAGAGAGGCGAAATTTGCAGGGGGGGGCTGCGAAACGAAAAATGGGTTTGGGGAAGCGCAAAAATCTCGTCGTAGTGAAGCCACCACTGTTGAGAATCTCGAGCTCCTTCAAGGAAACTCCATCAAATGGTCGAAACACGTCGAAACGATCGCAATCGATCGTAGCCGTCAAATCTTGAGCGAATTACCCAGATAACCGAACGTGCAGTAGGGATACTACCGGACCACAGCGTCCTTGTCTCCAGCGAGTCTTTCGCCGAGAATTACAAACCTCGTCGTCATGTACTGTATCCGCACAGTAACACTACGTTATTCATGCTCCTGCAAGTTGGCGAGCCGACTCTGCTGCATAGCGCCGAACTTGTCCGTAGTTCCATAACTGTAGAGAGCTCTGTAAACTTATACATATATTGTCATATAGAAGTTATAGGATAGATAGGGTATGTTCTTAGTATCAGAATTGAATAATAATGAGAATAGGAGAGTACAAGATGATATAAGCTAGGGAGTTGTACTCTCTAAGGCACAAACCTGTATAGTCCACAGTAACATACTAAGATAAGTTTAACACACCCCCTAGACTATATAGAGGCAGTGCCTAACACGAGAACAAGTAGCTCAGGGCGGCACTACTAGTCCAGCCTCTAAGGCAAGGGTCTAAAGACCAGTCAATAGGAGTACAGACAAAAGAGGAGCAAGACCAGGGCGGCACTACTAGTCCAACCACTAGGAGTAGCCACAAAGCCAGTCTGGGTAATACATATATATAATGTCTGTACAGAGTCAAGGTCCTAGCAAGTGCGAGGAAACAGGAACAAGACCAAGTTGTACGCAGTGCCGCTGATGATCTTTAGGCGCAAACGCCTTCGTAAAGTAATCAGCTGTGTTGGCACCGGAGGCCAAGTGTACTACACGAGCCTGGCGACGCTGCTGTAGCTCGCGCAGGAGGAAGTACCGCAGCTGGATGTGCTTCGCTCTGCCCTCAAGTCGAGGCTCCTGACACAGAAGGATCATGGCCCTGTTGGCAGGGTACAGGACCGGGGCAGAGCTAGGCCACTCACCTAAGTCAGTGAGCAAGAAGGACAGCCAGCGGAGCTCCTGTGCCGCCATGGCATCGGCGTAGATCTCGGCCTCACAGCTCGATTGGGCAACAGACGAAGAGCGAGTAGCTCTCCACGAGACAGCACCTGAGCCAAGACTAAAGCAGTAGCCCTGTGAGAACCTAAGGGTCTCGGCGTCGTCTGCCCAAGAAGCGTCTGTGTGCCCAGTAAGGACCACTGGCCTGCGTCCTCCCAGCACTAACCCCAAGCCTGATGTACTCGCGAGAGAACGCAAAACCCTCTTAGCAGCAGACCAGTGCTGAGGTCTGTGTCTGCCTGTGGCCACAAAACGAACCAGGATGCTGAGAGGGTATGCGAGATCTGGACGAGTGCAAGTCATCAGGTACATGAGGCAACCCACCAGCTCTGCGTAACGACCACTGGGCTCCGCTGACTCCTCAGGGACTGGAGCAGAGAGCCTGTGATCTACTGGAAGAGGTGTGGGCTGTGCGGAGGAGAACTGAAGGCCGAACCTCTGAAGGACCTGGCGCACCAAGTGTGACTGGGTCAGGGTGATGGTGCGCGCTGCTCTATCTGTGGAGATCTGCAGGCCCAGGTAGTGGCGCAGCTCTCCTAGATAAGAGCAGGTGTGTCTCCTCAGCAGCTCAGCCTTCACAAAAGCCAGCGCGGTGGTGTCTGCAGTAGCAAAGACCAGATCGTCTACATAAACAAGGATGTAGAACGGAGTCTGGCCAGAACTAACGAAGAGCAAGGGGTCTGCGGAGGACGGAAAGAACTGCAGGTCTGCAAGCGTAGCATGCAGCGTGTCGTGCCCCTCGCGGGGCGCTTGGCGCAAGCTGTAGACTAGGCGCTGCAGGAGCCACTGAGTTCCAGGAGGGAAGGTACCAGTGAAACCCTAAGGTCGGCACAGGTAGACCTGCTCGTGTAGACTGCCCTGAAGGAATGCAGTGGAGAAGTCGAGGGAGTGTAACTCACGCTGTGCTGCTACGTGTAGCAGTGCTCGAAGAGTAGTCATCTTCGGGGTCGGGACGAAAGTCTGAAAGAAGTCCACCCCCTCGCGCTGACTAAAGCCTCTAGCCACGTAGCACGCCTTGAACACAGGCGGCTCTCTAGGAGGGCGCTTCACCTTGAAGAGCCACCGGCCATCGACTACGTTCACCCCTGGTGGGGGAACTGCGTCGACGTAGGTGCCGGTGGATCTCCAAGATGCCATCTCCTGCTCCATGGCAGCTATCCACTGAGAGGCCCAAGGTCCCGAGGTCGCCTCAGCGTAAGTGCGAGGGGTCGGGATGTCAAAAGCGTCTGGATCACCCTCAGGGACTAACACCATGGAACAGAGATGAGGAGCAGCCTCGTACAGGAAAGCAAGCTCGTACTGGCGGTCCTCCAGGACGTCACTGCCGAGGGCAGGAGCACCCCTGACAGGCGGAGGACTGGCAGGGTCAGAGACCAGAACGGTGGCATAGTCAAGGCAGCGGGTAGAGGCAAAGTCAGCGACCGCAGCGACAAGAGCGTGAAGACACGAGACCGGAACAGACGCGTCGATAAGGAGAGAGGCAAGGACCCGAGGAACAAGAGGACGGGCGGCACGAAGGTAGTCATACAGAGGGGGAGGCCCAACGACAAGGGAGGACGGAGGAGGCGACGATAGGAGGGTAGAACGAGACGCGTGGGAACGAAGCAACATAGGGTGAGAGCGTGGGACAAGGGAGACGGGGCGAGCACGGGAGGGACGGCGAGACCAGACGTGAGACGGAGAAGTCAGGTCAGGAGAGAGGGGAGGGGACATAGGAGGGGAACGAGTGGGAAGACGAGCCGGAGTCGAGTCCGGAGGAGGGAACAAAGGTCCGTAGACAGGGAGAGAAGGAGATGACAGGCGAGGCGCAGACGCAGGGTGAGGGGACGGAAGGCCGAGCAGGTGAAGGGCTGACACCGGCGGTGACTGCTGCGGCGACGACTTGGCACCGACTCTGGGTCCGCAAGCTGCCTCACGGCTACCTCTGGAACACTCCACGCCAGCACCCCGCAGAAGGAATACCCCCAGAGCCCGAAACCCCTCGAGCACTGGTACCACCCCCAGGCCTGCACGGACAAGCCACGACAGGAACCCCAGGACTAGTACCCACCCCGACGCCATCACCCCCAGAGTCAACGAACTTTTGCGGCGACGGCTGCAACGACGGCGGCGGCGGCGATAGCAGTGGCGACTGCCGCTCCGGAGGCAGCGGAGGAGGGGACACCTGGGGAGGGGCGGGCAGCAAGGACTGCGCCGCAGGACCACCAAAGTCAGCAGACTCCTCGACCGGGACAAACGACGTGAGGGGGGTGACGTGGGACACACCAGATGGGGCAGAACGGGGAGGGGGAGGGGGAGGGGCAGGAGCCACCGGGGAAGGGGTGACCAGGAACAGGGGGGGGGTAACCGGGGGACCTCGTTGTGGGAAACGGCGGTAGAAGGAGACGGACTCATCAAAGGTGACGTCGCGGGAGTGAAAGAGCCGGTGAGATGGCGGGTGGTAGAAGTGCCAGTCGGACGAGTCAAGGGGGAAACCGAGGTAGACACAGGGGAGGGTGCGGGCAGTGAGCTTGTCAGTGCCAGAGGCACGAACGTTAGCAAGGCAGCCCCAGACGTGGAACGCAGACGCGTCACCAGGAGACCCGGACCAAAGAAGGGTCGGCAAAACATGCGGCTGCTGGGGGTGCAGCCACAGGTTAAGCTGGTGAGCGGCGTAGCAAACGGCGAACGACCACAAAAAATTGGGTGCACGGGCATGGATCATGGAGGTATGAGCCACCTCCATAACCAAACCGATGCGTCACTCAATGACCCCATTCTGCTGCGGGGAGTCTTGCAAAGTGAACAACTGGGTGATCCCCTCCGCACGACAGAAACGACCAAGGACTCCGGAGCCAAACTCGCCGCCACGCTCGGAGTGAAGACGCAAGACCGGGAGACCGCGGTGGACACGCGCAGAGACAAGCCACGAGATAAGAACGTCAGGCACGTCGGCCTTCCGCTCCAGGGGAAAGACGGTGGTCTAGTGGGTGTAGTCGTCGACAAGCACTAGGAAGTAGCGCTCTCGACGCGGCCCATGGACGTGGGCGGGGCCCCAGACGTCCATGTGCAGAGTCTGTAGCGGTGCGGCGATAGGGGGGAACGAGGAGGAGTGAGGGGCACGGCGGAGCCGGCCCTCAACACAAGGCATGCACGGTGGTGCTGGGGAGGAGGGCAACTTAGGGAACGACCCTCGGAGACCTAGGACAAGACCGTGCTGAGACATGTGACGCAGACGCGAGAGCGCAGGGTGACCTAGACGGTGGTGCCACAGGGGCTTCGGGTGAGTGAACGACCGACAGGAGCAGGCAGCAGCAACCTGGGTACACGCAGCCACCTGAGGTGACGTCCCAGCCGGGGGGGTCGCAGTTTCCAGTGTGAACAGTCCGGACACCGGGTCCCGGGGGAACGTGGTGAGGGGAGCACCAGTGGCGGCCTTGGTGCACACAGCGTACCACTCATGACCAGGGAATGTAGTGGTGACGCCAAGGTCCTAGAGGCAGCCAACACCAACTAGGTTCTTGGAGAACGAGGGGATGTACAGGCCTATAAGAGAGCCCGAGGGAACCGCCGGACTGGGAAGGGTGGTGGAACTGCGGGCGACTACCGGGCCAGAGGAGGGGTCAGCAAGAGAAACGGCAGCAGGAGCAGGAAGCGCCATCAGCGTAGTGGAGTCGCGAAAGAAACACCGAGAAGCGCCAGAGTCCAAGGTGAAGGAGAGCGCAGCAGTGGCATCTAGAGTCAGAGCAGTGACGGAAGAACCAAGGCTAAACAAAGCAGGGGATCCTACGCCTGACGCAGTAGGGGTGGCACAACTAGACACACCTACTCTAGGCAACAAGGAGTAATAAGAAGTAGTCACACTAGAGTCATCAGCATACATCACATGCAAGGCAGCAACAATCTCATCCATGTCCATATCAAAGATCTAAACGCTACGGCAAAGCAAGCTGTGCCAGTCGGGGAGGCCGGGCGACGGGCCGAAGCGCTGACGAAACAGGTCGTCCAGGCGACGGAAACAGCGGAGGGAGGTGTGACCGATCTTACCGCAAACGAAGCCACGGCGAGGACCGGTCTAGAGCAGGTACTGACAGTGTCCGTCACCCGCACCTCCACCCGACAGCCCACCACGTGCACGACCACCACGTCCAGCGCCATCACCAGCGCCAGGCCACCCGGGCGGGAGACCACCCGCCCGCCTCTGCTGCTGCGGCTGCTGGGGCTTGCTGCTGCTTCTGCGGCTGCTGCGTGTCTGGCTGCGACACTTGCGGCTGCTGAGACGGCTGCTCAGCTGCACCTGTCAGGGTCCCCTCGTCATTGCTACCACTAGGCGACCGGACTCCACAACCACCTCCACCTGCACCACCACCCCCACCGCCACGCCCAGCCTTTGGGCGGCGGCCCTTCCCGGAACGGATCTGCGCTGCAGCTGCAGACTCAGCCA